CGTGCAGCGGGTCTGCCCCGCCGCTGACACAGTTCTGCGGTGGGAATCTGGAGGGCTTTTCTAAGGCCCGTTTTTCCTATTTTTTGTTGTTGTTGTTGTTGTTCAATTAGCCCTAGTGATTTATTCAATGCATGCATGAGGGGACATTAATATGCGGTGGCAGTTCCCACAAACAATATTCCTCTCAGGCTTTCTGCAGCCATGGCATTTACTGGCGAGGGGGGAGGCTGTACAGGGAAAGCCAGGCGCTCTTATCCTTTTCCTCTGCAAGCTCCTGTGCCCCCTTCGCAGGGCAGCAGCGTACGAGTCTGTTCTCCGGGCCCTGACTCCCGTAGCCGGGGGGCTGGGACGGGCCCCGGCCCTTTCCAAGCTCCCCCAGCCCAGCCCAACGGCTGGTCCAGCTGGCTCTGACGAGGCAGGGATGCGGCTGGGATTTAAAAAGGGATTTTGGTTTTAAGTTACAATATTTGCTTTTAATTTTTTTTCCCACACTGTCCTTAACCGGATTGTTCTCCAAACGTGCCTTGTGCCGTCCCTGCAAAGACAGCTCGCTGCTGTAAGAGGAGCAGGGCGGAGGGAGGCTATTATTTTTGGTTGCGTGGTGCGTTGAATTTTGTTTTTAAGAAGGATTTAAAGTTCAACACGGTTTTCACACTTTGAGAGCAGCAGCGTGCAGACACGCTGCGACCTGGCTCCGGGGGTCCCTTTCCCGCAGCCAGGCGAGGAGCGGGGGCGACCACTGATCTCCTCTGGCTGCGACTTCGGGAGCTGCGCGAGTATCTGCCTTAGAAGCAGGTGATGGACGGTGGGACTGCGAGGTGCTGAGCCCTGGGGGGTGGCGAGGGGAGATCTGTCCCCTTCTCTGCACACATCTAACGAGTCTTCTAAACCCCGGCCTTTTAAAATGAAATAAAAAAAAAAAAAAAAAAAAGGAAGAAGAGAGCCAGAATAAACAAAATGTGCAGATGGAGAAGAGGAAAGTGAATGGCCAGCCCGGATCCCAAAGGAGCTGGGGGCAAGGACAGACTTGCC